AGAATTTGAAAAATCATCAATAAACTCTGATAATAATTCAATAGCACATCTAATCTTACCATTATTAATTCACATTATTATTAAATCCAATCCAAAAAAATTAATTTCTAATCTAAGGTGAGTTTTAAATATTTATAAATGCTTATTATTAAACATTATTATATTTATTTTATTGAAAATGTTATATTTAATATAATATAATTATGTATACATGTTTCTCTCAAAAAAAAAAGATTTATACAGAGATTTAGAGTAAGAAATTTAATAGATAACGAAATGTCATACTGTTTAACAAATATTCTAGCAGTTATTGGATTTTTAGAGACTGCTGATTACTTGGATTTAAACAACAATAACATTATTAACAGCAGTAGTGGTAGGAGGGTTGGGCATGAAATAGTTAAAGTGGCTGATAGTGGTGTAAAAGTTATCACTGACGCATTTGATTCTTCTTATAAGTTGTTTGGTCGTATTCTTGGATCAAATGATATATTTTTCGATAAGGACAATATTAATAATAAAAACAATGTTAATAAATTGCCCTCAACAAAATCTACAATAACTCCTGGCATTGATGAAGCTAAACAAGAAAACGAAATGCAACAGCCGCAACAACACCGAAAACGTAAATCTTCATCCTCATCAATGTAAAAGATGAATATTTATTTATTTTTAAAATGTTTAATAAAATTATTTAAGTTAATTAACTTATTCATTATTACTATCATCACCATACAATATATCATTAGGGTTGATCGTTTGCTTTCATTTAATGTGCTTCCACATTTTTCAGGCGATGGAAATATTATAAAAAAAGTAAATGTTTTTATTTATCATTACCATAATTATTATTGTACCACATCATAACATGCTGACTGATATTCTATAATTAGGAAATTAAGAATTCAATATATAAAGATGATATAAAAATCTCACCACCAATCCAAAAATTTCTAGATTGTTAAATTGATGATTTTAAAGATGTCCCACGTTAGAATTAGCATTAATTTAAAAATTATTTCATTTATAAGTATTAACTTGTTATTGTTATTAATATAGAACTTTTAAAAGATTAGTGAAATCGATGCATAAACTTAATCTTTTTTTCTAAATAATGATCATAACGGTGGTGGCTGAAACTATTTTTGAAAAAAAGTGGTCACCATTACTATAATAGATTTTAATAATTATTTATTTCTGTATTTATTATAACTATATATTGTTTTTTAATTAATCGTTACGAACTACAGTCAAAGCTCTCTATAACGAACTCCCTGTCCCGAGAACTTTTGTTCGTTATAGAGAAAGTGTCGATCAATCATCACATTTATATTCATGTAATCGTAATATAATTATTTATTATTATTATTATTATTATTATTGATTACAAGGTTAAAGTTTTGTGTTTACAAAATAACAATAGTAATTTTTAAAAAATAAAAATTATCTTTAAGTTTTATTCTCAATTTTTTACTGCTCTTTTGAATTAAATTCAATATTTTTGATTTTTCTTCATAACTCTTTCTTTGTAAAATTGTCAAAGTAGTTCTTCTTTTAGTTGAATTTCAAAATATCTTATACGAATATTTTATATATTTAATAAATTTATTTTCTTTATTTTCATTAATGATTTAACAAAAGAGGCATAATGTGTAAACAATCAATTAATAAACAATTGTATTCTTATCGCTTGTATAATGTTAATATTAATTTTGTTTTCGTTAAAGAAAATAATAATAATAATAATATTTTTTTTTTTATTGGAAAAATTTTTTTGTCAATAATTATGTAATAAATTTTCTTTGTGTTACATTAGGTATAGAGAGCGCCATTTTATATGTAAATTTGTCATTTTAGAGAATTTAATAAAGTTAGTTATACAAAGCAAAATTAATTAACAAAAAATTCGGGACCAACACCTTAGTTCATTATAGTGAATAATTCGGGTTTCGGAAGTTCGTTATAGAGAGCTTTGACTGTCTAATTCACTTATTAATAATTTGCGATTACAAAAGAATTGCTGCGCCATACACTTCATCTTGTACTCGCTCGCTGATTGATTTGCTAACATTGAAATTAACTAGCGTGTTTTTTATTTGTATGCGAAGTTACACGGCAAACTAATATTTTATTATTATTATTATATATAGTAATAAAGTAATCATGGCATTGGGAACACTAAAAAAATCACAATACACACAAGAAATTACAAAATTTATTCATTCGTGCGTGTTCTAATATTTACATGAATTATTTCTTCACGATTGAATCTTTAAATAAAGAAATAGATGGTAATTAATTTTCCGTTGCTCTCAACAACGAAAAAAAAAAAATTCTTTATTTCTGCTGTACGACAAATAAGTAAATTAATTTTCTTTATGTGATCCTTTTTAGTTGAATGAATGTACTACAATAAATATCATACAAAGACCCAAGAGAACAAGACTTGGGAAACGCGTATTAACAAAATAATGTAATCGGTTAAATAATTACTCACATAAATATTTTTTTCATGATAAAAAGGAAGAGTTTTTTAATTTTTTTGAAGAATAATCATAATAATTTTTTTTTCTATTATTTTAAACCTTCTTTTATTATTATATTTAGAAAAAAATATCCTTCATTGTTATATTGTTATTATTGCTTATCATTTACTCCCATTTAATACACACCAATAAGGTAATATTTTTTTTTTAAGAAAAAAATTTACAACCTCCCTCCCGCTCTATTACATCATCATCATCACAATAATAATAAATATGACGATCAGCAAAAAACCTACAAATCACTCTACTATAAACATAAGTCGTTTAACAGTAATGCATCAATTTAGTTTATACACATTGACAATTTTTACAATTTTGATTCTAAGATATGCAAATTCTGGACCATTTTTGCCATTATCATGCCAATTGTTTGGATCAAAATGTCCTATTAATCCAAACATTAATGGATTTGTTAAACCAGAATTTAATGGTGTCAAAGAAGTCTTTAAACAAAATTTTATTAACGGTGATGATATTGGTGCACAAGTTACTGTTTATTATGATAACGAAGTCGTAGTTGATTTACAAGGCGGGTTTGCAGATTTAAGTACTGGACGTACTTATAATGAAGATACTTTACAACTGGTATTCTCCAGTACCAAAGTTTTGGTAAATATAAAGCAAAATAACTGTTTTTATTGATTATATTTATACATTCATTAATTCTAATCCTAATTTCTTTTCCTTTTTCTTTTTTCTTCTTGCTAAACAGACTGGAATTGTAATTTCTAGACTTGTAGAACAAGGATTATTAGATTATAATGAAAAGGTTTCCAAATATTGGCCAGGATTTGCACAAAATAATAAAGAGAATGTGACATTACTAGAATTGATAACACATAAAGCTGGCGTAGGATATATTGATTCACATCAAATCAGTAATAGAGATTTACATGATCTTGATAAATTATCTGAAATTTTGGCCAACCAACCTCACAATTTCGATGGTAAACCAACCAAAGCTTATCATGGAGTTAGTCGTGGATGGTATTTAAATGAAATAGTTCGTCGAGTAGATCCAAGACATCGTACAATTGGACGTATAGTTAAAGAAGAGATAATGCCTGTTTATAATTTAGAATTTTATTATTCCATATTTGACATTAACAACAATGATGATAATGATAAATTGAAATCTGTTTACGAAACAAGAGTCTCCAATATCTACACCTACCCATTATTACGTCTTTTTAGTAAAATACTGTTACCTCAATGGATGATAAAGGAACCTTTACACAAGATATTTAATGAAATGATGAACAGTGATAGTACTGCTTTTAAAACATTGGTCATGACTTCACCTGATAAATCTCAACCACAAGAATGGAATAATTTGGAAATGTTGAAACCCGAAGGCCCAAGTTATAATGGAATCACCAATTCCAGATCAATGGCAAAATTAGGTGCTATGATGGCAAACGGTGGTAAATCGTTACCAATCAAAAACAAAAACAATAATAAAAGTAAATTTTTATTAAAAGAACCTGATTTAATGTCATCAGAAACTTTTAAACTTATAACAAAAAAATTAGCACCAGAATTTGACAATGTATTGCAAGAAGCCTTCCCAACATCAATTGGTGGATTTGGATATTTTAAATTGGAAGGATTAGAGGATGTTGAATTAGTTGGATGGGGTGGATCAGGCGGAAGCATGTTTTTATGGAATGAAGAGCTGAAAATTAGTTTTGCTTATTGTATGAACGCCTTCCATACTGCTTTATTAGGTGATAAAAGAAGTTTAAAAATGATTAAAGAGGTTGTTGATACTGTAAAAAAATTAAGAAACATTCAATGATTAATGATTTCTTTTTTCATTTTTATTTATTTCATTAAAATTCATTTATTTCAATCCTTCCATCATTCATTTATAAATAATTTTGTATATTATTTAAATAATACATAGAATACATTCATTCATTCATTCATTCATTCATTCATTCATTCATTCATATAAAAAAAGTAATTTATATAGAATATAAATATACATATTTAATAAACAATATAAAATAAAATATTTTATAAAGAAATCTTCTATGGGAATTCTTTCTCGGCTGGTTCTTTAGTTTTTCTACTAAGCGTGTTATCCAATTTTCAATAGTTTTATTTTTTGGTAACTCATTTGCATCCAACTCATCTGCTTCTCTTTGTTTTAAAATTATTTCAGCTGTGAATCTATTCTTCTTATCTACATTTCCTGACAAAAAAAAAACAGGCTCTTTCACCTGTTCAGACATGCGTTTACTTCCAACAATGCTTTCAAAATTTTGCTTCTCACGAAGAGCCAAATCCAGTTCAAAGTAATTCATTCTAGAACTTTTAAAATTCCAACTAAATGTTTTATTAGTGGAAAAGTCAGTTATAGACAATAATAATTTATACATTAATATGGACATATAATTGGGCTTAAATTCTCAGTTTGTTACAGAACAAAGTCTGTTATAGAGAGAGCGAACTGTATAGAGAATCCGTTATATTTATATATTAATATTAATATTAATATTAATTGGGCTTAAATCCTCAGTCCGTTATAAAAGAGTGAACTATACCTATTATTCATTCTCTTTAACTGCTTCATCTTCATTCACAGGTACCATTACACGTCGTTTTTCGTTTTGGACATTTCAATTGATATAAATGGTGAATAAAGAAAATTGTAGATTTATATAATATATATCTTTGAACACACAATGGTACTAATTACTGATGTCAGCCGGTTAAGAAAAATTCAGCTTAGCGACTGATAAATTTTTTTATGATAAAAAAATATACTCTCTTGACTCATTTCATTATTACTTTGAATGACAAAAAGAAAACAATATTCATAGCAAGATAAAGATAATAATAGTAATATAGTAGTAAATAATAGTAGTAATAGCAGTAGTAGTAATAATAATAATAATAATAACAGTGATAGCGATAATAGTAAACCATTAGGTAATAATAACTATGGCGAACCTTTTGATCATAAAAGGAATTTTGAATGTATTAGTAAATAATGATAATTTGACAGTGATATAAAGGGTTTCTTAATACAATATTTTGGATAATACTAGTTTACATTGAGTTATTTTATTTAGACTTGTTAAATTTTATTTTTAGTGA